CCTCTGACTTAAAACTGCTGGAAAGATGAACTGACGTTGTTGTTGTTGTTGTTGTTGTTGTTGTTGTTGTTGTTGTTGTTGTTGTTGTTTACCTCCAGCCTCCCTGGTTACAACACCTCAGGAAGGTCAGAGGAGAAGCCGGCTGTCCAAACGTCACCTGTCTTCACTCCAGTCTCCCCTCAGCTGTAAAAGGTAGAGCTGCAGCGCTCAGACCTGCTGCCTCCTGCAGGACCGGCTTTCAGTCCGTCTGTCTCTTTCAGAACCTGTTTACCGGTCGGACCTGGGTCACCTGAGGATCTCCTTCAGGCTTTAGTCCCTCAGCTTCATCACACCAACGTCCAGCTGGAGGTGGATGGAGACCAAGCTCTGTCCGCTGGACTACACCTGGTCCGGAGGACTGACTTTGACCCCACATGCTCCCTGTCTGTCAGGTCTGCAAACACACAAACAGACAAACACAAACAAACAAAAAGATAAACACACAAAAAACAAACACAAACAAACAACAGACAAACACACACAAATGGATAAACAAACACACAAACAACAAACACACACACACATATAAACAAACAAAAACAAATGGATAAACAAACACACAAACAACAGACAAACACAAACAAATGGATAAACACACAAACAAACAAATACACAAAAAAACAACAGACAGACAGACATACAAAACAAACACAAACAAATGGATAAACTAACATGCAAACAAACACACAAACAAACAACAGAAAAACACACACACAAACATACAAAAACAAACACAAACAAACAAACAACAGACAAACGGACACAAACATACAAAAACAAACAAACAAATGGATAAACAAACATATAAACAAACATATAAACAAACACAAATAAACAAACAAACACAAACAAATGGATAAACAAACACAAACAACATACAAACACACACAAACAAATGGATAAACAAACACAGACAAACACACAAACATACAAAAGCAAACATATAAACAAACACAACAAATATATAAACAAATAAACAAATAGATAAACAAGCACAAACAAATGGATAAACAAACAAACACAAACAAAGGGATAAACAAACACACAAACAAACAAACACAAACAAACTGAAGCGTTTACAGGACTCTGGATGTTCTGTCTCAGGTTCAGAGACGAGCAGGGATCTTCATTGTCCTGCAGCCGTGAAGACTCAGCAGAGAAGTCCTTCCTGAAMCTCCTCGTCCAGCAGATCCAGGACTCTGTGGTCTTTGAGGGTCCCAGTGGATCCAAGAACCTGTCTCTGGACTCTCGGGGTCAGTAGAGGGTGTTTGTGAGGAGTGTGTCAGTAAATGATGTGTGTGGACTCCTGCAGGTTGACTCTCTGACCTCTGCCTCCTCAGCTCTACGTGACGATCTGTACTTCGACGTGGGCTGCCTGCTGGCTCTGTCCCTGGTTCACGGGGGTCCACGTGTTGGTTTCTTCTCTCCCGCTCTCTACCAGTGTCTGTTCAACTACCCGGCCAACTGCCCCCTCACTGTCAGGGACCTGACCCCTGATGCCCCCCTAACCCACCTAGTCAGGCGGGTGAGCTCAGCTCAGCATGGAGCAGCCGCTACGCTAACCGTACGGCCCGTTTAAACGCAGCACTTTGATTTCACCGTTTCAGATCGGCACGGCCAGGACTGCAGAGGAGCTGAGAGAAGCTGCTGCAACCAGCGGGGAGTTCCTGGAGCTGGCGGGCTGCAACCGACCAATCACAAGCCTGGAGGACCGAGAGGCACTGCTGGAGGACCTGGTCAGCTTCAGCTTGATCACACGGATGCAGCTCCCCCTGCAGAGGTACGAAACCTGSATCAGCTGCGGCGGCCATCTTTAATCAAATTCAAACATTTCCTTTGTGTGGTTGAAGGTAACAGGAGCATCACTGCTTCCTGTCGGGGGGTTAACCTGTGTGTTTGGGTCCTGCTGCAGGTTTCGGGAGGGTCTGCAGACGTTGGGCGTCTTCGATCAGGTGATTTTAACCTCCTGTTTTCTGCAACGACACAAAAGTCKTTAAAGTTTCTTTGGTTTTCCAAATCAAACTACGAGTAAAGAGGTTTGATCCGGTCCAGGTCCAGCTCTTCCCGTCGGTCTTCTTCAGCGTTTTCTGCCAGACCACCACCTCCGTCACGGCTCAGACGCTYGGCTCGCTCTTCACCGTCAACTTCTCTGAGCAGCAGGACAAAGTGGAGCGAGAGACGCCCGTCGTCACCTTCTGGAGACACTTCCTGCTGGAGTGTGAAGGTCTCAGGCTGAACAGAATATACAGAAATATTTATCAAATAGACTTTGAGTTGTGCACACATTGGGCCTCATCAGAACTGTTGGTACGAACAGATTTGTTATGAAGTTGTGCGTATGAGTGATTTTAACTAATCATTCACCTGTTTTCTTGTAAGTAAGGTTGGGCAATATTGGCAAAAAAAAATCACGATTAATGTKTTGTATTTAGCCGATAACGATTAATTTAAAGATTAATCCCCCAGAGTCCCTGGATACCCTTGTATCCTAGTCACATGACCAATTTATAGGGAGAAAATTGGCTCTTCGTAAAATCTGTTCCAAATTGTGTCAAAATTACAGACTTCAGGCTAAACATCAAACTTCAAATTGTGTTAATAAATAAATTACAGAACTTTTTTTTAATGTTCATCCTGTTTGAAGGGGAGAGGAGCACCAAGCAG